CAGCATATCTAGCCAACACGTCTCTTCTAGCTATTTTTAAAAGACATGAACTATTGTTAACTGCGGTTACCCTCCTGTGCTTTTCTATCTACTTCACTTGGCAGTCAATCCTAGTGTGTAGCAGTCCCCAGTGCATGTTTATTTAACACATACATGAATTCCAGTGAGATGCATAGCTGTCAGTGGACAATCACTACCTCGGGACGACTCAGACGGAGACCAAAGTAACCACCACCGGGGGAATGCAACCCCTACGGCTGTCATCTGACCACGCCCTGACTGCGGTGGGAACGTGAACCCAGACTGGTGGTACAAGTTTGGAAACTGCCAACAAAAGAGCGCCAGCTGCGAGCCCGAAGGAGCTCTCGGGCAGGGCCCGGAGTCCTCCCATATTTATTTCTGCTCACTTGATATGCACCTCTCCCTTGTCAACCAGGTACAACATGTTTATTTAAGAGATAATGTTGCCGTGGAGGAGTGCACAAGGCAATAAACAGCTTTCGCAGGCAATTAAATGCAGAAGCGAAATTGAGCTGCTGGTCAGCGGAAGCAGCCATTCATCGTGAGTTTGTTCCAGTGTCACAAATGTTATTCCTGTTTCACAACAGGACAGGAATCTATGATTGGGCCACAAATCTCTGCAGGCTGGAGACAGACCAGAAGCCATTAAAGCCTTTCTCAGCATGCGTGGTGGTGTTCACAGGGGCGCATGCTCTGGGATTCCCGGATGCTGTCCCCAGAGACCTAGAAGAAGTAAGCTTGAGTGTGTTCTCTCTCTCTCTCTCTCTCTCTCTCTCTCTCTCTCTCTCTCTCTCTCTGTGTGTGTGTGTGTGTGTGTGTGTGTGTGTGTGTGTGTGTATGTGTGTGTGTCCGTGTCCGCCTCCCTCTCCCTAACAGATTTACAGATTTGGTAGATTTGGTACTTAGTAGATGCTGAGTCAGTCTTTGGTCTTACAAACGAAGCATGTAGAAGGCCTAACTCCACAAAAGAGTCAATGGATTTTTCTGCCACTGGATGCCCTGTCTATTTTTCAAAAGTCTATCTTTAAAATAAAATTATGATCTCTGCTAAAATATGTTATTTTCTAGCAACCAAATGATGTCTTTGTTTGAAAAACATCCACAATGCTCCCCAACATACAATGGCACTCAAAGTACCAAGGGAAGGGGACAGAGTATAGAAGGAGACTCCATCCACCCAAGAGTTAGGAGGAAAGTTGAATCCTGATCAACATGAAGAATATGGCTCCCATACCAGATCTCGGACAGAGCCTGAATCACTGAGGACAGCAAGCAGCAGAGAACAGAACAGGTCCTCCCACGCTACCGAAGGTACCTCAGAAAGGACAACAGGATGCTGGGAAGCAGTCACGAGAGAACCCCAACCAGCCAGCTTCCCAGAAGCTGCCCATCAAAGAAGCAAGGCCATGTTCAAAGAGCAGGCTCCACACATCTTCCAGAAACAAAGAAGGTAAAGCTGTGATCTGAGCACGTGGGAGAGTCACAAATTTGAGGACCACTTAGACTTATAAAGTAAATTACAGTCCTGTCTAACTGAAACTCTGCCTAAAAAAAAGATCAAGTTGCTAGCCACTCTCCCATCTACCCCAGATTCCTACTGTAACCAGGCATGGTGGTGCACACCTTTGATCCCAGTATTCCAGAGGCAGAAACAAGGGAATCTTTTCAAGTTCAAGGTCACCTGGTCTACATAGAAAGTTTCAGGCTACCCAGGATTATATAGTGAGGTCTTGTCTCAACAAAACAAAACAAAACAAACAAAAAATAATAAAATCCCTTCTGGTTATAGAGTGAGTCACCCCCACCTCTATCACTTCAACACCAGCCAAATGTTTACTCTGTATCTATTGTTTAATGCTTTGTGACATTTTCACAGACACATTATTATGTTTGTCTATGCTTTGCAATTTTTATTGCCCAAGGGAATCAAATTCTTCCTCGAAAATATAAAAAGTCAATTTCATTCATTCTTTAATCCATACATCACGGTATTCTGTGTTTTAACAGTAGCTATTTTATTATAAAGTATGCCTGAAGTAGCTAATGTACACATGAGATTACATATGATCAGGTAGCAAAGAATTCGACAGACTTATAAACAGTATGGCAAACGGAAATAGTAAGAACTGAAATAAAATCATGTTATTATCTGCAGTGTGTCTTTGTTTACATGAAAACTCTCAAGTATGCCAACGATCACACTTCAGCTACCACACAGCCTCACGCACCCACATAACAGCCAAGTGAAGGCATCATAGGTTCAGAGTGGAGATTTGGAACCCAGCGTATCTACTCAAGGTGACATGGCTAAATTCAAAGTTACAATGGATGTGAACCTTCCGGGGTTACAACTCCCGTTCCTCCATGTGCATTCTGTGTCCCCCAATCAGCAGGCCTGTTTATCATGAGTCCCACATCTCTGCAGTTCTCTGCAGCAGAACAGGATGGAGCGGGAACTATGGACCGTTTCAGGTCTGCTCATCACCATGTTGATCTGCATCCAGTGTTCTGCAAATTGGTAGCTCACAGCTATGCTGGTTCTGTTTGAATGTAAGAATGTGTTTTCAATAGAATTGGGGGGGGCACGACTAAAACATTTTTAGAAGTCAAGTGTGGTTATGTCAGGCTTAAGAGGATCTGCTGTACCAATGTCCCTTTATTCAATCTCTTAGGATCACTCTGTTACACATACATTGAGAATGTCCCTCCTTGTGCCTCATTTACCATCACATTCACAGAAATCTGTTATGCAGATTCCAAAAGTAACTTCAAATTAGCGAGATGTAGCTTATTTTAGACAGTGACCGGTGGGACTAGGTCTTTCAGGGATTCACGAGAGCGCTGCCCTCGGTCCCCTCAAACAGCCACACATCACTCTCCTCAAGACACTTGTGCTTGTTTCTGACCTGCATGGGTGAAGAAAGACAGAAGGGAGTTCCGAGAAGATCTTCAACTGGAAGCACAGGGCTTAGGCAACGACTCTAAGCCCTAAGCAACAAAGGGCCTGAGCATTTCATATAGGATCCACCCCACAGCTGAGGCTGACCTGCTGAGACAGTGTACTCACAGGTATGCCCAGGATCCCTGCTCACAATGACTTCTGCAAGTCAATTCTGTAGTCCTGAGTTTGCTGCAGACTCAGTGACGGTCAGACACTCCTGACAAACACTTCAAAGTCAGGTTCAAACCCTGGCTCTTTCTTTTGGTGGCCGTGGGGACAGGAAATCCCAAGAGCAAAACGGCTGACAATACTAGCCAAATACATGCATTCAAGAGAGAGACCTTGCCTCGCTGGATAAGGTGTAGAGTGATTGAGAAAAACACCCAAGGTCAACGTCTGGCCTCTGCCCGCACGCACTCTATGTGTATGTGTACCTGCTCACACAGATGCAAACATGCATGCATACATGCACACGCAAAAACGTAAAACATATAGAAAACTTAAGAAAAATCTGTAGTTCACAGAACTGGTCAGATCCCTGAGCGTAGCAAGAGAATCTCTAAAGTGCAATAACTTGAATATTAATAATTCCTTCACTTCAAAAAGGGGGGGTGAATGAAACAGACTTGGTTTGAGGAAAATGTCAGGTCGTCAAAAAGGTCAGGTTTTAAAAAGTTAAAGACCACTCAAGCAAAATTGCCTTAACTCTAGAAAACAGAAATTTGCAATGCTGACTTCCAGAGGCTTGGGGTTAGAGAAGTGGAGAGACACACATCAAAGTTTTTGCTTTCAATTTTTAAGTTCTGGAAGTTGAATGTACAATGTGGTAGCTATAATCAATAATGCTTCATATCTGAAAAATGCAGACTGACTCTCAGGTACATGCAAGCACACTCACACAGGCGGTGCCTTCATTAACCCGACTACGATAAGCAACACACAGTGTACACACACATCAGGACACCACACTGTATAGTATGAATGCATCCAATTTATCAATTATACCCCAACAAAGCTAAGAAAATAAGGGGCAAAGAGAGCATCCAAGATCTGCGCTAACTCCTGGATGTATATTACACTGAACTGTAACCAAACACTTGCTGAGAAAGCCTCGGCATGTTCACACGGCCACGGTGGGCACAGTTCTTGCAGAATCACAGCCTCTTCTGCGGCCTGGTGGTGTGGGTCTAACCTCTCAGCTACACACTCCTAGACGTAAGAACACACCGTCGTCTAGCCTTGGAGAGCTTCTGGTGCTCACACAATGAACGACCTGATGGAAATGGCTTCACCTTAGAAATAGAACCGCTCCAGGGAAAGCTCTTTCCCCAGTGAGGCAAAACACTGCTTTTCTCCAATGTTGAAAGCTTGGCTGCACACTATTTTAATTGTGTGTATGTGTGTGTGTGTGTGTGTGTGTGTGTGTGTGTGTGTGTGTGCGTACACACACGCACACTCTGAAAAACTGACATCCATTTCTAAAAAACACCCATGTATGTTACTGGGCCATCGCAACACAACAGAATTCCCTTTCAAACCTTTATGCCATGCAAACACATCCGTCATTATCCTTTCTCTCGTAGGGTAAAAATTTGCGGAGAGAGGACTGCCACCCAGGATGCTGCGCCTAATACATTCTAAGCTGCCCCCAAATGGGGAAGGCTGGAGGAGGTGGGACCACAGAAACATCTAACGCTGGCCAGCTGGGTATTTCTGCAAAACGACAATGTGAGGAAAGCTATAACTGAAAAGGAGCCCAGATGCATGTACACTCCCTTCCAAGTTCCTGCAATCAAACTCTGGAGTTAAATGACATTATCAAGAGATGGAAAAAAAAAATCAATGTGCTTTTCATATTGTGACTACATGTGTGCTGATCTGGACATGTGCATGGCACACGTGTGCATGCATGTGCATTTTACATGCATGTCTGTTTCGCATATCCCATTAACTCTGGGTCATGTGCATAGGACATGCGTGCATGCATAGACATCTTACATACATGTGTGCTTCGCATATCCCATTCTCTGGGTCATACCTGCCACTGGTTTCCAGTCTGCGCGGGCACGTAAGGTGCTGGCAGACTCCGCAGGCTGTTCTTCACAGGAGATCCCCCAAGGGGATTCCCCACCTCCCCAGAGGAGGACTCAGCAGACAGAGCCATGGAGTACTGCGGGTAGTTGTACAGGTTGTTGTAGTAAGGAAACAGAGATGGCTGGTAAAAGCTGCTGTAGTAGGCAGGGTCTGACACCAGGTCCGGTGCGTTCTCCGCATGCCCTCTGCTGGAGACAGCAGGAATATCCTGGATGACCATGCGTCCCTCTGAAACGGAAAGGAGAAAAAAAAAGACGTGTAAGATTTAACGTAGGGGGGCTCACAAACCTTGTCCTCTAAACCTTAACCACGCCTGAACGATTTCCTTCAAGCTGAGCAAAAAACCTGACCATGCAAGGGAGCAGTCATTTTCTGCCGCTTCAGCCCCAAGGGGAGCTGGTGGCCACAACTGAAAGACCCTTGGTCATGTTACTTTTATTAAGAATACCAAATTACTTTAGAGGTGGATTAAGTGACACAAAGCCTGACGTACCTCACATACCCCTACCCAAATGTCATGAAACTGGAGATCAAATCCAGTTAACCTGTCCACGAATTCCTATCATGTGATAAACTACTGTCACCCAGGAATTCAGTAAGGGGCTGGGTTTGAGCACACACTGTTTCCTTTATGTCCTTCCATGGTGGATACTCTAGTCTTTAGTAGGGACCAGAGTATGGACCTGGAATAGACCAACTTGTTCTGCAAGAGTACAGTTAGCACTACTTGAATTTTGGTGGACCAGCCAAATCAATGCTGTGTCGCAATAAAGCTTTTTCCCATAATTGAGAAGAGACTCCGTTTAGTCCCCAAAGGGGAATTAGTCAGCCTGTCACATTCATCAGGATCCGCCAAGAATCTAGCAATTTAGGTGACAAACTAGAGCTGCTGATTCTTCAGCTGAAATGGAGGAGGGTTTCCATTGTATCCTGTCTAAATGAGAGACTGGACTAACGCCTCCGGCCTCGGTCCGATGGACATCCACTCACACAATGGTCTAAGAGATGAGCCAGCCCCTGAAGCGGCAGGAGCATCCCTTGTACTACCCACAGGAAGCCTGCAGTGTAGGGCGAAAGCGGCAATGGAACTTCCAATTATACGGCTACCAGTATAACCGCAGCACCCATAAACTACTATGGAAGTTCAGAGGAAGGGAAGATTTAACTTGCAGTTTAGAGATGAATTCAACCTTTGCGTCACACCCTGGAGAAGGAAGGAGAGAGCTGAGGTGAGGCTCGGAGTTCAAAGGCCTAGCAGAGAGATGGGGGCTGCGGGGGAGGTAAGTAAAACAGAAGGTGGGAAATGAGGGGAAAAGAACATGGGCGAAGAGATAAAGGCAGAAGATGGAGTGACAGGAAAGACATCAGGCAGAAGAAGAATAAAAGCAGGGACAGGCTGGGCTGGAAGGGAGGCTGGGAAGTCTTTATCCAGTTTCAAGATGGGATGTAATAGGAAACAATGAAGATGTCTGAGTTAGTGGATGGAGATCCGCTTGAGGGAAATTCTTGGGCAAAGTGAAGGAGATGAGAAAGACCAACTAGGAAGCGACACAATATCAGACAGAGATCACGTCAGGCCCCAAATGTGGGACATGAAAGCAGAAAGAACTGGAGGAAGGTGGGGCATCAGGACTGAAGAGAAAGGGGTGAAGAGCAGGAGTGAGGCAGGGGCATGTTCTGTTTAATCTAGACACTGGGCATGAGGTACGGGACCGAGTGAAGGTAAGGAACTCGAGACTTCCTGGGAGCCACAGAGACTGGCAGCTGAGATCTGGAATCACTACCCAGCAATGGCTACATCTGGGGAATGGGGTGGAGCTAAGGCAGGCACTGAGGGAAGCAGATGCAGCTCCACAGAAGCAAAGCTGACAGAGACGGCAGAGGGTCCCACTGCAATGTCAGTCCACGCTCAGAAACCGTACAAATCCGAGCTGGTCAAGATGGACACGGGTCTCTGGGATATTCTGTTGTGCAAAGAAAGCCACGGCATCTGACCTGCTAAGTAGCTTAGAACAAGCAAGCATGCAGAGACACAAGATGGCTGCAAGCGGCCAGACGATCCTGCAAGGAGCATCATGCCACGTGCCCCCTGTGCCTAGCATAATACCAGACCCAGAGCAGCAAGTGTTTTTAACTAAAGAGAGCAGTAAGCAGTAGTTTTTTAAGTAGTATAAATACGAGGCAAAAACTGAAGCTCCGAGAACCACAAGTTCTTGCTACTTCAGTTATGACAAAGAAGGGTTCAATATACCAAGGCGTGAAGAAGAGGCTCCCAGAGAAATTCCCAGAACGATGTGTGGTCCAAAAGCGCTTGGAGGGAGGGGTGTCCTGGATAAATGTGTAGAAGGAGGAAGAGAAAACACACAAGGGAGGGTGTATGCACTCAAGGTGCAAGCCAGGTTTGGGTCAAGTCTATAACTGAAGCCTCCGTACAGCCTTATTTTAAAAACTGCAACCTCCTTTTCCTGAGAGGATCCAAATCCATCCACCATAGGCTCCCACAACTGCACTGGCGAGCCACAGTCTGTTTCTTTTCTTTCTTCTCTCCTCCCTACTATTTTCTTATATAAAACAACAATGTTGGGGGCTGGAGAGAGGGCTCATGGATTAAGAGCACTTGCTGCTCTTGTATAGGATCTAAGTTCAGTCAGTTCTCAGCACCCACACAGCATCTCATAACTGCCTGCAACTCCAACTCCAGGGGATCCGATGCCCTTGCCTGCCTTCTGCAGACATCACGAACACAAACAGTGCGCATAACTACATGGAGCCTCTCACATACACTCATAGAAAAAGGTAAAACAATTCATTGGCATCCTTGGTCATTTTTGGTAGCTAACACTTTTGCTTTCAGTGTTGGGTCCTTTATTCTTTATCTGCTTACAAAAGCAATATGAACTTCTCAAAAATGACAAACCATGCAGACATTTAAAACATGAAAGGGATAGATGAATAGTTGATCACCCAGCCTAAGTATTGGTGGGTCATTTCCCAAGCAATCTCAGACCCTGGTGGAAGGCATGTTGAATACTTAAACTGCTCCTGTGGTAGGAATCTGGAGATACCTTAGGGCCTGGGCCTCAAAAGTCATGTCCTTACTAGAGAAAACAAGACAGGGTAGCAGGCAAAAGAAAAAGAAAAGAAAAGGAAAGGAAAGGAAAGGAAAGGAAAGGAAAGGAA